TAATAGAAAGGCTATCAGAAATCTAAAGGAAGCCTGAAAAATTTTATAATTTTAAAACATTTTGATCATGTATGTTACATCTCTATGGAATCTCTCACAAAGTCTAATTCTAAAAAAAAAAAAAAAAGATCGTATTTCTAAAATTCAGTTCTTAAAATAAGTATGCCTTTGAGTAGTTCCAAAATACATTTTGCCTCAGGATGGTGTGCTTTTTAAATATGGATGAGTAATTTACCTTTCAAGTAGCTCAAACAAGGAGAGAGAACAGGAACGAATGTCAAGGGCAAGAAGCCTCCACTTCACTCCCAGGGTTTTTGCTTTTTCACTTCTCAACCACAGGTATCAGCAGTTTTCAATGGATAAAATAGTTTTCACAGGATAGAACTGGACTACAGGAATTTCACTTCTACATGCATTCATTCAGAATTAGGATGGAGTAAGTGTTCTAACAGTATCTCCGTTAACGTATTAAAATATTAGCTATTATTTATTAGGTCCTTGGTATATGCCAAAAGATATTTAAGCATTTCAACTACACTATTCTATTGAATCTGATTCCAAAACAACAACTCTCTGAGGTAAGTGCAATTATCTCCATTTTACAGAAATGGTAACTGAGATTTAGAAAGATTAAGTCACTTTCCCATGACAAAGAAATGGAAAGAACTGGTATTTGTATCATTTGTCTGATTTCAAATCCAATGTCCTTGTCCACTAAGCTGTGCTATACAATGTGGTATACAGGAAGCTGTTTTATCTTTAAATTCAAGACACTCAGGTTGTGAAATCCCCAGTATTAGCTGCATAAATTTAACAACTCCCTGATCATTTCCTCAGCATACATTTCCCCAATTATAAAATGAGGTAAACGTTAACTATCCTGTTTAACTCACAGTAATATGGTGAAAGTAAATTTTAAAAGGGAAATTTTTGGGGGGTGCCTGGGTGTCTCAGTTAAGGGTCTGACTCTTGGTTTCAGCTCAGGTAATGATCTCAGTTTAGTGAGTTTAAACCCCACTGACAGTGTGGAGCCTGCTTGGGATTTTTTTTCCTTTCTCTCTTTCTCTCCCTCTCTCTCTACACCTCCCCTGCTCATGCTGTCTTTGTCTCTCTCAAAATAAATAAATAAGCTTAAAAAAGATACAATAGAAATCTTTTATAGACCATAAAGATCCATGCAAATAGATATTTTTCTAAAATTTGGATTTGCACATATCAGATATAGGTAGATATTTATTGAATTTCACTTTGATAGGCTCTGTGGAGTAGGCATAGTGACCATTAAGCCAATTTTAGGTCATTACAGTAAGCATAATGTCTATGCTAAAAAATTAGGTGAATTAAATGATTTCATGCTGATGATTTGATACATGAGCTGTGACTTGCTGATTTTCTTAGTCAAGACTGTCTTGCCTAACGGGCACCTTGGTGGTTCAGCCTGTTGAGCGTCCAGCTTCAGTTCAGGTCATGATCTCACAGTTTGTGAGGTCAAGCCCTGTGTTGGGCTCTGTGCTGATGGCTCAGAGCCTGGAGACTGCTTCAATTTCTGTGTCTCCCTCTCTCTCTGCCCTGACCCCACTCACGCTCCATCTCTCTCTCAAAAATAAATTAACATTAAAAAAAATAAAAAAAAAATAACACTGTCTTGCCTAAGCCAAGTCTTAGTGGGGTCCTAGCCAAGACCATCCCCACTTGGCAGCAAGCAAAAATCCACATTTAAGTATACTAGAAGAATACTGTGTTTGTTTAGGCACCAAAGGGTAGAAATGCGGCTGGATCTCAAGAAGGCCTGAGAACCAGTAGGTAAGAATTGTTTCTGTCTCTGATTCTTGTTTGCTTCTGCATGACAGATTTATTTAACAGGTTCAAAATGGAAACTTCCACTAAGTTTAATATCTCCTCAAGTTCAAATTTCTAAGGTAGTATAACCAGAATTTCTGGATCTCAAGTCCAAATTCCCTGGGGCAAGAATCTCATTGGCCCAACATTGGTCAATATTTACTCTTATTACAAGATTTCTCATTCTTAACCTTCAGTACTTTTTAAGTTTTATGTTGTATACTTATTCTTTGTTTGGATGGGGGTGGAGTGAAGTTATCTTGTGCACTCCAGGTATCATCCCTGGCCTCTACCTACTAGATGCTAATAGATGCTCCCCCTAATCTAACTCAGTGTTGTAACAACCAAAAATATTCAGACATTGTCAATGTCCCCTGGGGGCAACGTCACCTCTGGTTGAGAAACACTGTCATGTGACTAAGGGTTAGAGCATCACACAAAACAAACATGGCCACAGTGACTCACCCCTCCAGAAGTGGGTAGTTCCCAAAGAAAGACAGATGTCTACTTGGACATTATCCCAAGTTGTCTACTATAAGAATAACAGATGTTGGTGAAAGTTATGATTTTTTTACTAACTTTTGTATATTTTTTACTAACATAAATCTCTAAAAATTAATTAAAAGTTTCAGAATTTTGAGCACTGTATGAATTAAAGGCATATTTAACTTTCAAAATTGGAGAATACCCATGTGTGCTGTTTTCTCATTCTGTCCTAACAGAGTGATTTCCAAGATTTTGGCTCATGCATCCCTATCAATTAGAGAATGATTATTCAGCATTAAGATGATAATAATGATCATTATAATAATAATAATGAGAAGAAAAAGGAGGAGGAGGAGGAGAAAGAGAAGAAGAAGGAGAAGAAAGTAATTTACACTACATTTTTCTATTCTACTAAATTCATATAAAATGCAGCAAAAATTACTTAAGAGTTTGATTTGATTTCATAGTATCATTAAAAGTACTATATGGGACTTCTGGTCCAGATAAGATGGCATAAATTTATTTCTTCCTTACCAAGAGTAGCTGTGTTGTGGAAATAATGCAAAAGGCAATAATGCAAAGGAGAATTTGAAAGGCATTGAAGCCAAGGCAAACTAGTTTGGAACCCTGAACTGGACAAACAACAGAATAGTAGGCATCTATGTTTCCCTACCCAACAGAAGAAAGGAATCCAAACTAGCATTTCCTAAATGTAAGCTAGCAACAGAAAATAGCCCAAGTAGGCTCCTATGTTCCCCAATTTAACAGGTGGACCTAAAGAATGCTAGGTGAGCTAGGTGGGCCTGAGAGGCCCCTCTCCAGAAGACCAGGGGTAGTTGGGTGGATCCACCAGAGGGGCCCAGCCACAGCAAGCAGCCAGGCTGAAAAGTTTCCTTGATCCTTTGTAAAATAAGTAAGTTGGTGAGTGAGTAAAATTCATTTTTTAATTTGACATCTCAGAAGTTTTTTGACGTGAGAAGACCTATGGACATTTGCACACTTTAACAATTTCCACGGTTACCTGCCACTTCATCACAAAGTATTACAAGGATTCTTTTATATTTTAGAAATCTCAACTTTGTGCAAAAGGCCACATCAATGTTATTTCAGCATTGTGTGTAACTTGGTTTCAACTACTTTGCTATTAGAATATTGTCTACAAATAATTGTAGTAAATTTATTTCACACATTGATCTTTACAATCCTGCTTAAAATTCTTGCCAAAATATAACTATCATAAACATTATTTCTATCAAAAAAGTTAATTTAAGTCTACACTATGTTTTATATAACTCCTTGACAAAGACCAAAAAGTTTGATAATACACTGCCTTGCCCAGGGAATAGGGAAACAGGAATTCACATACATTGCTCCTGGCAGAGAAAACTTTTACAAACTCTATAGAAAACAAGATTTCCATGTTAGTGATCTCTATCAAATTACATAAATATGTGTCATTGACCTTGCAATGACCACTTCCAGGCATTAATACTATAAGTAAATTCATTCACATATGCTTAGATTAAAAAAAAAAATCAAAGTACATGATAGCATGTAAAGCATGCTAACATTTGAGTGAAAAATGGGAAGGAACATATACATATGTCCTACTGTATGCATAAATTGTCTCTGGAAGAATACACAAAAGTAGCCAATAATATTTGTTGCCTAGGGATGGCTGAAGGACAGAGGCAGGACAAAAGTGGGAAAAATTTTTATTTTATGTTCTTTTCTATTTTATCAATGTTAGACATGAAAATGTCCCTGAATGAAAACAAAAAAAACAAGGAAAAAAAAAAAAAGAAATCATTTACCAGTGAGACAATATTTTTCCTCTATCTTTTTTCTTTGTTGGCTCACAATAATGTAATTATTTTCCATTTCCTTATTGAAAGAGAATCTAACAAATATGAACTGAGACAAATTAGAAATATCTAAACTTTAATCCAATAGTATAATAAATTTCTACAATATCTAATATTTGTATATTCATATTTTTTAATAACATTTTCTCTGTCTTCTATGCTAATGAAAGGAATGCATTTCAAATTGCCACTACACTATTTTTCATGTATTATTCCAGCTGTTGTTATTGTAGCAGGAAAGAAGAAATATCTTTACCATTCATATGGAGCATTTTGTTTTTCCTTTTTAAAGAAACTATTTATCCTTAAGATTAGTGAAAGTTCAGTGCTGATTTAAGTATGGCTTTAAGAATGCTGAAAAAAAAGATACTTGTCTTTGTATCCAATATACTTTGTAAATGTATACAAGAGACACAGTGCTCTTTTTCTTTTTCCTTTTCCTAATGAACGGATGGTGTTATAAGTACTGAGATTTCAGTACTTATAACCTGAAATGGAATTACCATTTGGTGCACATTTGGATTTCTTGCTTTCTCTGATATACAGATTCTTAAGTCATAGTTAATATCACCACATCAGTGTTGTTAATAGCATTAACTTGAAAACCACAGAGAAATATAAGAAGCAATTACATACTATGTTTCATTTGCAAGCAATGAAATTAGGCAGTTTACTTGAATAGGAGCAAATCTACCACAACGAAGCAAAAGCTTATTTTCATGTTTCTGAGGACCAGAAGTGTGAAAAACATGAATTATTAAAATTGCTTGATCATTTCAAGCCTATTCTTTCTCACTGTTGAACACTTACAGGTCTGGCAATGATTTTCTGTGGGTCCCCAGCATCGGCCAGTACAGGACTTATGGCAACGTCCACCTGTCGGAGAGGAAAGAGTGCACACACACATTATCATCTTTCACTCTTTGACTAGGAGTAACTCTTCAAAGCAAATAGTCTTGCTTCTTTCTGAGGATTTTTATATTTTCCTATAGCTGAAACATAGCTCATAAAATGCCCCCTTTAAGTAGCAAAACCTGAATGCCAAATACATGTGAAGCTGAAATACAATCTCCTGATACTCAAAATCTTCTCATTATTTTATAAGAAAAGGAAATAAGTTGAATTTGTGAATTTTCCCAGATAGTTGTAAATATTTACATGAAATAACTTTCACTTTGACTATTGAATATTTTTGTTCTATTGATTCTATGTGATTCCATTCTGCTTGATATAATTTCAATAGTTCATGGCTAATTGATATTAAGGAATAAATCAATAGTTAAAAAGAATTTGAAGTCTATGGAAACAAAAATATATTTTTACAAACACATGACAAACCATCAGAATGAAAAGGTTACATATATTACTTATTTATTTATTTTAATTTTTTTAATGTTTATTTTTGTGAGAGAGAGAGAGTGCGCATGCACATGAGTTGGGGAGGGGAAGAGAGAGAGGGAGACACAGAATCTGAAGCAGGCTCCAGGCTCTGAGCTGTCAGTGCACAGTGAGATGCGGGGCTTGAATTCATAGACGGAGAGACACTGATGTGAGCTGGAGTCAGAGGCTTAACTGGTTGAGCCATCCAGGAGCCCCTACACACATAACTTAGAGTCTCATTTGAGGGAGGATGTCATCAAGAGGATGTGACAACAGGTTGACCCTTGAGCTAGACCTGGCCAATGGGAGGCTCCTCGCTCCCTCCCCTGTAATTGTAATGAACATCCTGCCTACTATTCCCCTGCTAGCAGTCTGAAAGGATGTAACTTTGAGAGAGTAAGGTGATACTGGGGCCATCTGAATTGAATATGTTACTGAACCCATTTAAAACCTTCATATAAACTTAAGAGTCTGGTAGGCAGTTATGGGGATCTACTTGTCTCGTGGCTGTCCAAGATCACCTTGTATATGTTCAAGACCAGCCTTGTATGTAAGTTACCTTCCTTATTATACCTGCCACCTATCAATCTGGAGTGGTCTCCCTATGTATTCAGTCTTCCTTGCCCTCCATGCATAGGGACCAATTTGCAAACCAACATCTTTATATAAAAGTTTCAAGCATTTAAACAGATAATTTTTTTAGGAAGTTTAATTTCAATTATTTGATATCCTTTTTTAAACATTTTATTGATACCATCTTCATTTTCAAATACGAGCCTTTATCTTCTGTAGCACTATCTTGCTCTTAAGAACACTGCTACTCTGAGTATTTGCCTCAGCAAATACAGTTATTCTACAGAGAAATTTTCCTAAGGACACAACCATAGAGTATTAGCTAGAAGAAATCACATATAATGATTTTCTTTGAAGTTTGTTTCTGAATTTCATAGGTTCACCCTAATATTTGTGGGTATAAGGGTATATAGAGTGGGGTTTTTTAGAATAAAAAGTATACATGAAAATCTATTAAAGACTAAAGTGTTTCTATAACATAGTTCTTAAATTTTTTTTTCAACGTTTATTTATTTTTGGGACAGAAAGAGACAGAGCATGAACGGGGAAGGGGCAGAGAGAGAGGGAGACACAGAATCGGAAACAGGCTCCAGGCTCTGAGCCATCAGCCCAGAGCCCGACACGGGGCTCGAACTCACGGACCGCGAGATCGTGACCTGGCTGAAGTCGGACGCTCAACTGACTGTGCCACCCAGGCGCCCATCTATAACATAGTTTTTATTAAACCTTCTCTGTTAATTTTCTAACATTAGTATGAACGAGTATACACCCATACAAGATGTTTACTTTAACATAATTATACAGTAAAACCTGGGATTGTGAGTAACTTGTTATGCAAGTGTTCTGCAAGACAAATAAACATTTCTAATAAATTTTAACTTGATAAACAAGCAATGTCTTGCAATACAAGTGGTATGTGATGCTGAATGTTACATGATCACAAACTAACCCAACGGTTCTTGAAATTCGCTTTGATATACAAATGCTGTGGATTATAAGCATTTGTCCGGAATGAATTATACTTACAACCAAGGTTTTACTATATCTTGAAAGTTATGAAATAAGATTATATCAGATCTTTCCTCTTTTTCTTGACCCACAGGTCTTAATTCTTCAACTTGAAAGACCTTATAACTTGGGCAGCTTTTTTTTTTTCTTTTTTCCTCCCTCTTTCTCTCTCCCTATGAGACTGCCTGAGTGAAGCTGTTATGTTAAATGCTTTCACAGTTAAAGAGCAGATTCAGCAGATGCACTTTTTCAGGCTGAACCTCAGGCCATCCAAATGGTCTACCCTTCTGCAAGTGAACAGTACGATTTCCAAGTTAAGATAACACTTAGGCTCAATTCCATTCACCTTCTTAAAACTATGAGGATCCTTGCTACAATAGAGTTTATCTAAAGCAATTCTGTTTGTGAACCGCTATTGCTGACATCACCAGTGTATAATATCCTGTCACTCTGCCATCTGTTTATTTAGATCCAAACACATCATGACTACATAATGCAAGCTCATTCTCACTGACAGGAAAAGGACTCCATCTGGCCTGAACAATATAACTTTAATCAGTGATAATGATAATTATTATTAAAAACCTACTGGAGCTCTTTTGTACAATGCTAATAAATCTAATTTGATTTATACCAGCGGAAATTAGAAAGGGCTGTGAGACAAAATGGGAAGCAGTGAAAACTTTGAGTACAAACTTTTTATGAGAAAGTAACTAATGTTAATATATTTCTTTAGATGTGTTAAAATATTTTAAATCGACCCATTAAGTGGTCTGTTATTTAAAGATATCTGAAACAGAGGATGATCATCTACTATTTAATCTATGACTTCTTTAATTGTGTTAGTGGTCAATGAAATATTTAGTTGTGTTCACTGTGACCAGAACACTATTATAGCTGTGGGGGGCGGGGGGGAGCGAAGCAACATTATTTTAATACACTCAGTATTCCTCATTTATTGAATTATATATTTTCTACCTTCTTATTCTTGTAGTTTTGATATACCACCGAAGACTTTTGCCTGGATCCAATACAAAAAGGAATATTACTAGAAATTAGGTTTATGGTTCTTGACAAAGTATCATGGCAAGGCCCACCTAGCTGTAAACAAATGATATAGTGTGCCACCCCAGCCAGACACACACAAAGTTTAAACAATTTAACCTTGACTATCATGCTGTTAGGAAATTTTGTTTGGCAGTTTCCATTTTTCATTCATATTTAAATAGAAATATGTATTACTGCTGTAAAAGGAAGCTAACAACATCAGCCTCCTTACTGAGATTTTACTCAGTCATATATTCCCTTCACTCCTTTTGGAAACCAAGAGAAAGAGGGTCACTTGGCACACACATTCCAGAATTCTATTACTACACGTGTGTTGGAGGGCCATGACCTACGTGTGCTTCCACAAATGGTTTCTCATTCTGGCTCGCCCTTCATTTGACTGTCTTTGACCCTCTGGAATCTGCCCCCACATTCAGTTCAACCTTGGGCAGTATATGGCAATTGGGCAAATACTATACTATTTTCACTAAGTTGTTCCAATTAAGTATCAAAATATCTGGCCAAAATCGGATTGGAGGTATTCCCAAATTAATATATTTGCCATACTCTCACGCCTGCAACCTTAGTTTGATTCTTCTAGACAACTGGGTAGTGTAGTTTTATGGACTAATGTGTTTAATATGCTTTAAAATATGCTTTTAGATTTTTCTTTCCAACATTTCTGCTGCACACAAATGTCAAAAAATGAGAAGGGAGACAAGGGGTTTTCTGAGTAATTACCTATCTAGGTTAGCAAAACAAAACAAAACAAAACTACATACTTTTTTTCTCTACCTTCCTTCCAACTATTTATCCAAAAGTATTTTTTCAGTTCCTTCTATACCTGTGTGTTAGGAACCATGTAAAGTATTGAAACAGACATGGTTACTTCTCTAATAAGAGTTTAGAATTAATTCAGCATTATTTTAAAGGGAAAGGATTTTGATTAGTCTGTATCTAACATTCACCTTCTATGGGGTTTAAGGAAAGAAGCCAACAAATCTAAATTTTTAACAGTCCTCTAGCTCAGGAAAGAAGAGTTGGATGGGGTCAGGTTGAGCTGGGCCATTTCCAAGTTAATGCCTGGTGGCTTGGAAGTCCACTCCATTCCTTATAGGGTAATTTATCTATATGACATCTAAAATGAGATCAGGGGAGAGCACTTCAGTGGAGAGGATAAGTATGGCCCATGACGGATCTCTCCCTTGTCTTTTACAGAAAGAAAAATACTTTTAACTATGGCCCAACATCTTACTGAGAAATTTCTGTCTTCTATTCTCAGATTCTCAGGTATGCAGTGTCTCAGGAGGCCTGATTTCAAGAGGGAAAAAAAAGGCCATGTATTCACTCTTTTAGTGTGTATTAATTTTATAAATCACTTCTCTATGTATTTTAAATTAGAACAGCAGAAAGACGAAATCCATACTAGCCTATGTAAATGGAAGAAATGTTTTGGGGCACTGAAACTTTGCCAGTGCTGTCCAAATATGTCTTATTTCCATGTCTCAGTATGCTACATGATTCTTTTCCATTGTTTATTTCAATAATTCTTTTAAAACTATGTGAGGAAATATGCTACTTAAAAATAAGAATCTGACATTTCCATTCAACTTAGTGATAACAGAGTTATTTAAATTAATATTTCTACCTCCTGTCATTTTGACTCAAAGAAGTGAAATATAAAACAAAACAAAATTTCAGACAAATATTTCTGTCACTTTAGCAACCATTTTAATCTTTTAAAGTAAGTGCTGATTACTGCACATCAGCATTATTTTAATTCACAATCATTTCTGCTTTGACAATGCATTATTCATTGCAGAAGTTAGCAAGTATGACTAAGTTTATCTTTTATGCTTGTCCAGAAG